CCCAGAGACTCAAAGTTGAAATCCGAACTTGATTCTCAGTTCAGCACTGTTTCTACGGCTCCAGCTGCCATACTAAGTAAAGGAAAAACATGCTTACTGGTAGCCTACTCTGTGCCAGGTGCTGTGCTGGGTGATATCAGAAGGCGGAACTGTCTAAGGCCATACTCCTTTCTCATCAGGGCAGACAATCTAGATGTGGCACTAATCTTTGTCAACAATTTTGCTGGGTCAATTCCATGCTTAAAAACTTACTGATTGTTATCTGTTATTCAAAACCCTATTGGTTCTAACCTATGCTCTCTACCACATTTTCCATAAGAACCCTAACAAAACATTAATCACAGTAAAATTATTTTATTTGTATAAATTATTTTATCTCTAGATGAAGAGATAAAACTTCATCAGACTATACAATATTAGGGTAGTTTTAAAATACAGCTTGTGAAATTAGTGAAATTGGTGTCATTATATTATGGACCACAATAATATAAGCTGGTATTATGCATAGTAAGTGATAATGTGTTTGTGTCCATATTAAGAAAACATCACTTTGGGTAGATATCACAAATGTTTGTTTGCAGGAATGTTGTTTGATTTTTCTTGAGGGAAAAATAAGGTTACAATAAGTAGAAGACAATAGGGAGGACATTCTTAGAGGGCATAAATGTCTTGGATAATCTTGGGAAAAATGCAAATAAAATAGTTTGACGGCGGTGAGTGTTTTGTTAGGGTTCTTTTGGAAAATGTGGTAGAAAGCATAGATTAGAACCAATAGGATTGTGGATTAAATCAGTGGTCTTTAAACATTTTTGCTCACTTAGCCATTAAAAAGATTTTGGAGAAAACTTTGAATTAAAGAATGAGTAGTTCTAACTTTATTCTTTAGATGATGATCAATATATAATAAGTTTTTAAGCATGAAATTGACTCAGGAAAAATGTTGAGAAAAATAACCTTGATGTTCATAACTGGAGGAAATGAAATAGAATAGAAAAGATGAAACTAGGCTAGGCGTATGGGCTCATGCCTATAATCCAAGCACTTTGAGAGGCTGAGGTGGACAGATCACTTGAAATCAGGAGTTCGAGACCACCCTAGCCAACATGGCAACCGCATCACAACACAATATAGAAATAATAGTTGGGCATGGTTGTGGGCACCTGTAATCTTAGCTACTGGGGAGGCTGAGGAACTAATCGCTTGAACCTGGGAGATGGAGGTGGCAGTAAGCTGAGATCACTCCATCACTCCACTGCACTCTAGCCTTGGTGACAGAGTGAGACTCCATTTCACAAAAAAAGATGAAACTATATATTATTTGAAAAGCATCTGCAACATGTATAATATATATATATATATATACACACATAATTCTAAATCATAAGTAAATGAGCAATAAAATATGGTAAGAATTGTCTACCACAGTATAGTGCCTGGAACACAGTAGGTGCTTAATAAGTGTAGGAATAATTCATTCACAAAGTAAATGAATATTCATGTACAAACCAAAATATTACTGCAGACTCTTTTAAGCTAGAGATATTAAGGTACCTATTATAAAACCTTCAAATGTATATAATCTATTGTCTCTTTCTAGATAAAAATGTAAGTTTTAAGGATCACTGAAAACTGGTAGAGTTACCTAGGCAACCCATGAAGTAAAATTCATGAGAATTAAATTCTGATTGTAAGTATTTCCTTTACTGTCTGCCTTTTGAAAAGACGCAACAGATATAGCATCAAAGCTTCCACTTAACAAGCAGATCAAAAAGAATAGATGACTTGCTTCTGGTATATCTAAATATCTACTTATGATTTCAGTCGCCTTTCTTTTGAGCTTTTGGTTATTTTTAGAACCACTTTTCAATAGTGACCAAATGAGTTCACAGACTGCGAACTTAGGTGAGATCTATACAAATGCAATTACTTGAGTATTTTTTTAAACTAAAAAGGACTTAAGGGTTTCTGAATGACTCAGATAATTAGATAAAATATGGCTCACCTGTGCTGTCTACTGAACCATCCATGCCAAGACATTTAGATAGTGGCCAACATTTGCTGCTCTATTTAATGTTCAGAGTAGCTATTTCAAAGGAATACTTCTTTGAAAGATAGTCAAGTTACCAGATCACCAAAACATCAGGGTAATCAGTGGAAAATGTCAATCAATCATCTAGATGTGTTGCTTGATTTACAGTAAACGTGGCTGATTCTGTTGCTTTTACTCTGGCAATATGGCATCTTGTGAGATAATGCTACTCCCAGGGAGAGATACCGAAAAGAGTGTCTGCTGGATCCCAAAGCTTCTGTTGAAAGGATAAAAATATGTTTTCCTATATGCTGAGCAACAAAGTTGACTTATTTAATGTTTCTCTTCATCTGAATTCCTTGTGCTAATACATAATATAGTTTGGCTTTAACGCTTTTGAATTTAAAAAACTCAGCTAATTCAATCAACAGACTATTTTATCCGTGTAGAATTTTTATCATCATAGGTTACTAGATAAGGACATAAGAGAACATTGCATTGCTTTTAACTAAAGTCAAAATCACCTAGGAATTTCTGTACATTGTAGTCATAGGGACTGGTCTTAGGCATCCAACTTCAAAACTTTTCAAAAAACATAAGATAACACATATGCTATATGTAGCACATGAGTGTATTCTCTGAGCAAAGGGAACAGATTATTTCCTGAAGAACATTTCCAGGACACAAAGTGAAAAAAAGGAGACCTCAATAGATCTAATGGCTCCCTTGACATGACTAAAATTTTTAGAGAAGTGTTCTGGAGAGAAGAAACAAAAACAGAGAGGAGAGAAAGTTCTAGAGACCTGTAGAGGGTTCCACGCAAATCTTAGGCTGCCTACTGACTACTGGATATGTGTGAGAAACTACTAAACTGAGAGAAAAAAACAGGAGAAAAAGGCAGATGAGCAATCAGTCTCCAGAACTATGGTCAGAAATAGTTTGTGTTCACACCAGCCTGAGTGGAAAGATTTTTAAGCACACAGAACATTGAATATAGATTTGAGAAGAGGATTGCATTGGTAGTGGGGCTACACTGGCCCTAAATAGCTACTCTGAACTCACCTAAGAAAGCTGAAAAGAAAGATTCAAAGGATCAGACTATTCAAGTAACTTAACTGTGTCCTAGAGCAAAACCAAAAATTATTTAAGTAAATACCAGAAAAAAGATAAATTCAACATGAAAATCTGTGTCTATAATCTATCCAAAAATTACCATACATACAAACTGTATTAAAACAGAATTTTTAATAAGAAGAAAAATTAAGCAAAATAAGTAGCTCATAAATTACAAACATGGTGTAATTAGTAAATAAGAATATTAAAACTTTATTCTTAGCTTATTTACAAAAGGTAGATAATTGCATGAGCATAAATGAAGAAAGAATAAAGATTTAAAAAACATCCAAATCAAACTTATTTTATCAGGAAATGAAAAATACAATGCCTAAAATAAGAAACACACTTTATGGAATTACCAGCATATTAGACATGCAGAGAAAAAAGATTGATCGATTTTAAGATATAGCCAAAAAACTGTTTTTTTTAAGATCCAAAGAAAATAATTGAAAAAAATCAACAAAGTGTGACAGAGATATGGAAGAATATTAACTAACCACACATATGTGTAAACTAAAATCACAGAGGGGAAAAGGATAAAGAAACAAAAATGTTTGAAAAAATAATGCTTAAAATGTTTCCAAATTTGAAAACTATAAGCTCACATATTCAAGAAGCTCAATGAGCCCAAAGCGCAAGAAATAGGAAAGTAACTACATAAAGTCACATGATAATAAAACTGCTGAAAACTAGTAATAAAGAGAAAATATTTGAAAATAGCCAGGAATAGATACACTGTGAATTGAAGACAAAAAAAAAAAAATGCATCGGCATATCATCAGAAATAATATAATCCAGAACATAGCGGAGTGACACAGAAAAGAGATAAAAAGAAAATAGAAAAAGTCAACCTAGAATTATATGAACATCACAATGTGTTTTTTAAAATAAAGGCAAAATAAAGACTTCTTAAGAAAACAAACACTGATCACTCTTAGAGCAGCATTGTAAGTAATGTTAAAGGATGTTCTAGCAAAAGGATAATGACAAAAAGAAATTTAGATCTTTGCTAAGGAATGAATAAAACCAGAAATTATTAATATGCTGATAGGTAAACATGAAATATTTTTATTCTATTTAAGAAATGGGATAAAAATAAAATAAAATTATTTAAAAATAATAATTTGCTGGGTGTGGTGGCTCACGCCTCTAATCCCAGTACTTTGAGAGGCTGTGGCCAGTAGATCACTTGAAGTCAGGAGATCCAGAACAGCCTGACCAACCTGCTGAAACCTCGTCTCTACTAAAAATACAAAAATTATCTGGGCTTGGGAGTGCCCCTGTAATCCCAGCTACTCAGACGGCTGAGGTACAAGAATCGCTTGAACCTGGGAGGCAGAGCCAAAATTGCACCACTGCCCTCCAGCCTGGGTGACAGAGTAAGACTCCATCTCAAAAAGTAAATAAGTAAATAAAAATAATAATTGATTTTTGAGTTTATTATACACATAAAAAATATGTGACAACAAAAGCACAAAATTCAGGTGATAAAAACAGAAATATAATACTTGAATATTCTTATCCTGTGCTCTAAGTGGTATAATATTATTTGAAGGTAGGCAATAATATGTCAAACACGCATACGATAAAGCATAGAACAACTGCTGAAACAAAACATAACAAACAATATAACTAATACACCAATAAAGCAGATACAATTCAATTAAAAAAATTCAATTCTAAAATAAGAGCCATATTAGTCTTCTATTGTGGGATCACACATGAACCCAAAACTTATCAGTGCCCACAACTGACATTTATTATCTCACACAGTTTCTGAGGGGCATAAATTCAAAAATGCCTTAGCTAGGTTGTTCTTACTCAGGGTCTCTTAGGAGGTTGCAACTAAGAAAATGTGCTTCCTTCAGCAGCACATAAACTAAAAGTGGAACAATACAGAGAAGATTGGCTGGCCTCTGTACAAGGGTGACATAAAAATTAGTGAAGCATTTCATATTTTTGGAGTAGGATAACTACAGTTAACAATAATGTATTGTACATTTCAAAATAGAAGTGAGGACTTTAAATGTTCTCAACACATACAAATGACAAATGCTTGTATTGGTAGATGTCTTAAATACCCTGACTTGATCATTACACATTCTATGCATATAATATAACATATACTTCCTAAATTTGTTCAAATACTATGGATCAATAAAAATAGAACATAATCAGTTGGTAAAAAACCCCACTTCATGATTGATAAAACTACTAGATAGCAAATTAGTAAGAATGAAGAATATTTGAAAAACAGTACAAACAAACCTGAAGTAATTAACATGTATAGAACGTTTCACCCAAAAAGAGTAAATTATACATTATTTTTATGTGACATGGAATGTTTACCAAGATTAACAATATTTTGTGTCATAAAACAAGTCTCAATAAACTTAAAAGCATGTTCTCTGACCATGATGAATTTAAATTAGAAATCAATAACATTAAAATACATGAAAAATCTCTAAATATTTGGAAACTAAACAATCAATTTTCAAGTAACTTATGGTTCAAAGAAGAAATACAACGGAAATTAGAAAATATTTTAAGCAGAATAAGATGAAAACATGACATATCAATGTGCGGTACATAAATAGTGCCTAGAAAGATATTTATAATATTATATATATATATATACACATATATATACACACACATATATATATACACATATATATATATTTGAAAAGTAGCAAGTTCACCATTAATATCTAGACTACCACTTTAAGAAGGAACAACCGCAAAAGACAGTAAGTTAAGCCCAAAGTAAGAAAAATAAAAAGAAATAATAAGAATAGAAGAAGAAATCAACGAGATGATAAAATAGACTATAAAAGAGGAAAGTCAATGAAACTGAAACCTGATTCTTTGAAATCAATAAAATTGAAGAGTCCTCATCAGACTTGAAAGATAATATGAAATACAAATTACCATTATCAATGTAAGAGGGACATCACCATAGAACCTATCAAGAGTTTTTAAATTGTACAGAAATGCTGTAAATAACTTTCACAAATCAAAAAAATGGACAAATTCCTCAAAAAATAAACCAATGTTCATATTGAATTACATGCATACTGAATTTATATTAAACTACATATTCAATATATAATTTGAGATTCTCTATATTGACTACAAAACAAAAACTATATAGTCATCTCAATAAATGCACAAAAAGTGGGTTTTGTTTTTTTTTTTTTTTTTTTTTGAGACGGAGTTTTGCTCTTGTTACCCAGGCTGGAGTGCAATGGTGCGATCTCGGCTCACCGCAACCTCCGCCTCCTGGGTTCAGGCAATTCTCCTGCCTCAGCCTTCTGAGAAGCTGGGATTACAGGCATGCGCCACCATGCCCAGTTAATTTTTTGTATTTTTGGTAGAGACGGGGTTTCACCATGTTGACCAGGATGGTCTCGATCTGTTGACCTCGTGATCCACCCGTCTCGGCCTCCCAAAGTGCTGGGAAAAAAGTGTTTTACAAAATGCAACAACTAGGCAGATAAAAATTGTCAGCACACTAGTAGGAGAATGAACAGATTAGCTTTTCCTTAAACAGATAAAGAAAATCTTTATTAAACTTGTAATTACTATGAGACATAATTATGGAAGACTGAATACTGTCCCTCTAAGATTCAGAACAAGGCAAAGATTCCCATTTTTATCACTTCTACTAATTTTTGTTTCTACAGGTCCTCAAAAGTGCAATAAATCAAGAAAAATAAATAAAAGGCACATGGATTTAAAAGGAAGAAATAAAACTACCTTTAATTACAAATGACATGATTATCAAGGTGGAAAATTCTTTTTTTTCTTCTACTTTTTCTTTCTTTCTTTTCTTTTTTTTAATTGCATTTTAGGTTTGGGGTACATGTGAAGAACATGCAAGATAGTTGCATAGGTACACACGTGGCAATGTGGTTTGCTGCCTTCCTCCCCTTCACCTATATCTGGTATTTCTCCCCATGCTATCTCTCCCCAACTCCCTACCCCCCTCTGTCCCTCCCCTATTCCCCCCAACAGACCCCAGTGTGTAGTGCTCCCCTCCCTGTGTCCATGTGTTCTCATTGTTCATCACCTGACTATGAGTGAGAACATGTGGTATTTCATTTTCTGTTCTTGTGTCAGTTTGCTGAGAATGATGGTCTCCAGGTTCATGGATGAACAAGGTGGAAAATTCTAAGGAATTAATATCGCAGACACAAAAAGTAATAAATGAATTTAGCAAAATTTCAGCATATGAAGTCAATATGCAAAATTAATTATTTTTCCATATACAAAACCAAACACTTGGAAATTGTAATAAAATAATACTACTTATAATAATATCAAAAGAAATACAATAAATTTTGTGAAAAAAAATGTGCACAGCATGTAAACTGAAAACAACAGAACATTGCTGAGAAAAACTAAAGATCTAAATGCATGCAGATACAGAGCTAAACGACATTAAAAGACTCCTAGAGTTAAGGTATCAATTCTGCTCAAATTGACCTATACAATCAACAAAATTACCATTAAAATCCCAAGTATTTTACTCTAAAATTCATATAGAATGGAAATAAACTCTAGAATAGCTAAAACAATTTTGAAAAAGAACAAAGTGGGACGACTTTACCTGATTTCAAGACTTATTATACACAAGAATGAGAAATGCAGTGTGTCGGTGTAAAGACAGCGATCAATGAAACATCATGGAGCTCAGAAATGAACCCACACTTTCATGATTAGCTGATATTTGACAAAGTTTCTAGGGTAATTCAATGAGGGAAAGGATTATCTTTTCAGGTAAAAGTATGAAAATATTGAATACCCATAAGCAAAAATCAAAACAAAAACCCACTAAATTTGGACCTTACTTTACAACATAAAAATGAACTGGAAATGGATAATAAACCTAAATGTAAAAAATAAAACTGTAAAATTTGTATAACAAAGCACAAATGAAAGTCTTGGTGATCTCCTATTAGGACATAAAACTCACACACTTTTAAAGAAAAAAAAAAAGCCAATAAATTAGACTTCATCAGAATTAAAAATTTTGCTCTTCAAGTGAAAATGAAAGATCAAACCAAAGACTAGAAGAAAATGTTAGCAACACATGTATCTGACAAGGATTTGTATCCAGAAAACACAAAGAACTCCCACAACTCAGTAATAAGAAGACAACTTAATGATGTTATTTACCTTATTTCATACTTACAATAAGCCTGTGAAGTACATCACTAGCTCCATTTTGGATAATAAAATTGTTGCTCAGAAATGTTGAAAGTCTAAGTCATACAGCAAGTAACAAAAGGTTTCGAACCCTGTTCTTTCAGATCCTTACAGGTTTTCATCAACCATACCACCAAAGTACTACTTTTCGGAAAGCTATAGCAACCAGATTAATCAAATGCTTTATAAAAGTAATAGGCATGATTAGGCCTCGGGATTCCTCAAAATACACACACCTACTTGGGAGGCTGAGTCAGGAGAATGGCTTGAACCCAGGAGGTGGAGGTTGCAGTGAACCAAGATGGTGCCACTGCACTCCAGCCTGGGCAACAGAGCGAGACTCTGTCTCAAGAAAAAACAAACCAAAAAATGAAACACAGACACACACACAGCAACCACACAAACACACACCATCCCCCACACCCCAACACACACACACTCCTCCCCACACACTGCACCACACACACACCACCCCCCACACTCCAGATACAAACACTCTTCCTTACACACACCACACCCCACACACACCATCCCCCACATCTCAAAACACACACACTCCTCCCCACACACACCACACCACACACACACACATACTCCGCACCCCACACACACCCTCCTATGCACACATTTCTACCCCCATGCAACACACATACATACACATTCCCAAACTCCCTACACACACACATCACACCACACCACACTGTACACCACACACACACACACACACACACACACACACACAAACACTTCTTCTTCCACAGTGACCACTTTGGAAGAACCATACATAACAGACCTCACTATGAAGAATCTGTTTAAGATCTTCCAAAATTCTTCAGTGGCTAAATTGAAAGAAGCTATTTCATGCTGTTTCCCAGTGCTAAATGAAAATGCAAGACACTGTGTTTAAAAACTATTAAGAATCTCAGGACAGAAACAGCAGAGCATTACACCAAGCATGGTGCCTTCTCAATGCCCTGGGTGCACTTCTGTCTATAGAGATTAGTGCTTGCCACAGGACTGTAGTGCTGGCTCCTTAGATGGCTGAGGTTGGAGAGTCGCTTGAGCCCAGGACTTCTGGGCTACAGTGAACCATGATCACACCACTAAAGTCAGCCCGGGTGACAGAGACCCTGTCTTCAAACCATAATAATAATAATTTTAAAATAGGAAATTAGCAGTTGATGATAACAGATGTAATATTGCTTTACATTGGGCTATATAAGGCTCTTTTTGTAAGATTGTGAGCCCACTGAGGGTCTTGGGGATCCAACTGAGTTTGCAATTAATTAGGATATAGGGGAAGCATAGGTCAGGCAGACACAGGGTGGAATTACAACTCAGCATCTTTATCAGAGCTAAAGTCGATATTGAGAAACTTAGGGGCATAGAGAGAAGGTCTGATTGCCTGGCTAATGGTAATATACCCTAAGGGAAAAAACTCATTCTTCAGCGATGGAACTGGAAAACCCAACCTGCTCACAGGGGAAAGGCTTTTAAGCCTAAAATTAGAGTAGATGAGAAAGAATATAGCCTCTCTGCCAGCAGACAGCCCCCTAAGCAGAAGAAAGAGGGCTACACTGGGTTCAGTACTTTGTTTCCTGACTTACCAATTACTGGGGCCTGTCTTGTGCCCTGGGGGAATGACCAGGAAGGATGACAGAGGAGGCCAATTTTGTTACTCTAACAGGGGTGGCTTCAAATACAAACAGAAAACAAGGGAATAAGTTCTACCCTCCTCCAACAGAGGGCA